CGCATGTTAATGCCTGAAGCAAGAAAGGCATTAAAAATTATTGAAACATATATGGAAAATATGCATTTGGATAGAATTGATATAACTTTGCCTTTATTATTTATTGTAATACCAACAAAAAATATTCCTACAGGAGTATTTTGGCAAGAAGGTCCATTATTGTGGATACATTTATCTTATTCTCCTAACACTATTCTTACTAGGTATCCTGAGGCTGTAGGACAATTAATAGTCAAAGGAATAAAAGCAGCAAAGGGAGTGTTTGGAATTTCTCCCAATAAAATTATTACTCCATATACTATGGATCAAATTGATGAGTTAGCTAATGAGTTAAATACTTGGGCAACAATCATGTGTAAATCTAATGTTTCATTTGATAATCACTTACCATCTAATCCTTTGTTGTCTTTTTGGTCTTCGCATCCTGTAGTTTTTCCAAAAATGACAAGAAAAACCCCTATCATGAATGCTCCAAATGTATTCACTGATGGGTCAAATAATGGTACAGCAGCAGTAGTTACCCCTGATCAAACTTTTACATTTTTAGTACCCAAACAATCAGCTCAAAAGGTAGAGCTTAATGCAGTTTTACAAGCTTTTGTGATGTTTAAAGATTCTGTATTTAATTTATTCTCTGATAGTCAGTATATAGTTAATGCTATAGTATCCCTTGAAGATGCTGGCAGGATTTCCCCTTCCTCTACTGTTTTCTCTTTGTTTTCTGCTATACAAAGTCTAATCTGGGACAGAAAAGATCCATTCCTTATAGGACATATCAGAGCACATACAGGATTGCCTGGAGCCCTTAGTTTGGGCAACAATTTAGCAGATAAAACTACACATGACATACATATTTTCTCTACACTAGAAGAAGCTACACATTTTCATAAAAGGTTCCATGTCAATGCTAATACTTTACAAAAGCGTTTTAAAATAACTAAGGAACAAGCTAGACAAACAATAAAACAATGTCAAAATTGTGTGACCTTTTTACCACAAGTTAATCTTGGAGTCAATCCTAGAGGACTGATACCTAACCATATTTGGCAGATGGACGTCACACACTTGCCACAATTTGGAAAATTAAAATATTTGCATGTTACAGTTGATACTTCTTCTGGATTTTTGATGGGCTCCCTTCATGCCAGAGAAAAAACTAAAGATGTTATAGCTCATTGCTTACAAAATTTTGCCACTGTGGGCATTCCAAAACAGTTAAAAACAGATAATGGTCCTGGTTATACTTCTACCTCTTTTAAACAATTTTGCTCATCATTTGGCATTACTCATATAACAGGAATCCCATACAATCCTCAGGGACAAGGCATAGTTGAAAGAGCTCATCAAACTATTAAAATGTACTTACTAAAGCAAAAAGAGGGAATTGGAAAGGGGTATATATCACCCAAAGATAAACTTAAAATAACCCTTTTTACTCTAAACTTTTTAAATTTGGATTCCTCAGGGCTTAGTGCTGCGGAAAGGCATATGTGTCCAAAAAATGTACATAAGCCTAAGGTACTTTGGAAGGATATTCTAACAGGACAATGGAAAGGTCCTGACCCAGTGATTGTCTGGAGTCGGGGTTCTGTTTGTGTTTTTCCACAGGGAGAACAGCAGCCGATTTGGATTCCAGAGAGATTAACTAAAACAATTTCTACAGACCAAAAGGAAGATGATTTGACTCAAATCCATAACAGCTGATATCCAGAACTCCAGTTTGGCTATTCTTACATCTGCGACAGTGATTAACCAGGATGCTTTTTTCAATATTTATTTTATTATTTGCCTTTTCCCACATCATAAAGTTCTATTTTATTTTTGAGCTCATACAGACCTAGGTTAATGTTTTTCTGATCAGTTTTATTTTTTGACTGTGGAGTTTTTAAGCATTGCAATGGAGATTTCACCTAGGTAAAGCTACAAGGCCTTTACTATTGTCTTATGTGTTGTATGTTATGTGTGCACACTTCTGTTTTGTGTTGTATGTCTGTATGTGCGTATGTCCATATATCATATATGAGGAGCGCTCATGAATAAATGGATCCGAATTTTTTTATTCACGTGATTTTAATGGTTTAATTTAGATTGGGTAAACAGCTGTTGAAAATTGTTTTAATATGTGAACAAATAAGGAGGTTAACAGATCCGTTTGTTTACTTTCACCTGTCCTTCTCATTATATTTAATAATTCTGTTCAGGATACTGTAAATTGTTCAAAAAATTGTTTCTTAGTGCCTGTTGGAATGTTACATATTTTTTTTCTTAGCATCATTGCCAGAATTCCTATCTTCATCCCAGTGCCGGTGAAGACAAAGATAAAACCAAACTACAGCTTCTTCGATAGTTATCACAACAAACTGTAAAAACTGATGCATCAATGAATAATAACTCAACAAGTAATGCTCAATTAAGGAGTCGATTTACTTTGGGAGGAAATGGACGTATTGACAGATTCCTCTGCTTTGAATTGCTTGCAGAACTTGCCTGGACTATGTATCACTTGTATGCATTGTGTACTATCTGTTGGTACAGCGAATTGTGGTAGTGCTGGAGTATTTTTGCTGATGGTGTCACCGGTGGTACAATTTTTCAAAGGAGCCCTCAATTGGCTTAGTGTCATGGCATTTTGCATCCTCCTCCCTTCTACTAGTGATGGTCTAAAATTTGGGGGCCAACAGAGGTGAGGCAAAGAACGTCACCCCCCACTGGCACCAAGGCCAAATTTGGGGGCCAACAGAGGTGAGGCAAAGAACCTCACCCCCCCACTGGTGCAAAGGCCTATCCACAAGTATGGCTGTATGCTGGACCGGTAGTCAGTGACGGGTATGATCGAATTGCAGTGGTACCAACCTGGGACAGGAGGCTGACACCTGGAGGTCAGTTCGTCCGATGACGGGTAAGGACCATATGTTGAATTGGACTGCCTAACAGGCACGGTCCCTAAGCCACATTGCTTGTTGTTTAATTAAACAAAAAGGGGGAGATGCTGAGAGCCACGGCTGAGTCTGTATGGCCCCTGGCATTTTGCCAACAGTATTGATTGACAGGCGAGGCATTACTATCCGCCTCTGCCGCAACTTTTGAGTTCTCGCACTATTTTGGAGTTCTCGTGGGGATTTCCGGGGATTCCCCGAGAGTTCCCATTGGTTGGGGAAGTGCAGGAGGAGGGATTTCCGGGAGAGATATTTCCAGCTGGGGGTTCCTGGACTAGCCGCATGGCGTTCGGGAGGATTCCCCAGGAGCTGTGTGAAGTGTTTTCCTGCAGTTCAAAAATAAAGTTTGTTCCTGCTTCAGTGGCTCGTGATTTGTGCCCAGCCAGACTGCGGCAAGATTAGAATGCATACCAAGTGCTTAATACAGTACATTGCACACCATAAAATCTCAAATCAAGCCAGGTGTGGTGGTGCATGCCTGTAATCCCAGCGGCTAGAAGAGGCTGAGGCAGCAGAACTGCAAGTTCAGAGCCTGCAGTAGAAACTTAGAAGGCCCTAAACAACTTAGTAAGACCCTGTCTCTAATTGAAAAAAATCTTAAAAAGGGCTGGGGATGTGGCTCAGTGGCCAAGTAGCCCTGGGTTCAATCCCTGGTACCAGAAAAACAAAAACTTGATCAATTAACAATATTACAGTAGGTCAAAGAATAATCAGAAGTGGACACATGAGTTTAGGTTGTTGCTGCAAGAAATTGAGGTGAAGCCCAGTGTGATAGTGCGCACCTGTAACCCCAGCAACTTGGGAGGGTGAGGCAGGAGGATCACAAATTCAAGACCAGCCTCAGCAATTTTGCAAGGCCCTGTCTCAAATTTTAAAAAATAAATAAATATAAAGGACTGGGGATGTACCATGGTAGTAGACATCCCTGAATTCAACCAAAGGAAGGAATAAGGAGGGGAAGAAAGAGAAATTAGGTGAAAATAGAAGAGGAAAACAAAGGCCTGAGGAAAGTTCTTTAATATTTTAAAGACAGATCTTAGCGTGTTTATAGAGCTGGACTGTGTGTGATGAGAGGAACTCTGAAACTATAAATCTAAAGAAGAGAGAGAATAATAGGTGGAGTAAAGTCTGAGCTTTGGAATAGGCACAGCTATGTCAAGTAGCATTGCATATGAGGAACTTGCCCTGAGATGTGAAAGCAAGTAAATCTGATTGGGTACTTATACTAGCAAATTTAGAGTCGGGATGAAGGAGTTCCTGTTCAACACTTACTCACTGGTGGTTAATATCTGGAAGATATAAATACTAGAAAATCAATTGAGGTTGGAGATCAGGAAAGGAATTCTGGCTTCTGTCAACAGCACTGTGATTTTTTTCATTTACAGTTTACATATAGGCATGAAGGCAGAAGGGAGGTTAACCCATATTGTTAACCCATATAGTTAATTCTTTTGCTTGCAAGTAAGAGAAACTCAAACTATCTTAAACAGAGAAAGACATTTATTAGAAGGATCACATGCTGAATAAGTTCAGGTCACAGCTGGAAAGGACCCTGGGACAGAAGTGTCTTAGGGAGTCTAGGAAGTTACTCTTTCAGCTCTCCACAAACCACATGATGGAATTTAGCTATTGATGGATCCCAAGTTTTGTGAATTACAATCCAGGCTCAAAGGAAGTTCCACCAGGCATGGTAGCACATGCTTTATGATCCCAGCTACCCTGGAGGCTAGGGAGGAAGAAAGCAAGCCTGTCTAAAGTTAAAAACAAAAGGGTTGGAGGTGCAGCTCAGTGGTTAAGTACTTGACTAGCAAGTATAAGCCCTGGATTCAAGCCCTAACATAAATAAGCTTCCTACATGAGGAAATACTTGGACAAGCCTGGTGATAATAGGTAAGGAAAAGAGCTGGTTTTAACACAGGGACTCAACAGCCATTTCAGTTGGTCTCTGCTAGGGCAGGGCAGGACAGGTCTCCTGGTCTGGAAGGCTGGATATCCATTGGAACAGTGGATTTCTTAAGGAATTAGATTTACATTTTATAAACAGTAATTCCACAATGAACATAATTAATTCATCAAATATTTTAATGAGTCCAAATCTGATATGACCCCTGCCCACTGGGCAGCTCATCATCCAAGGAGAAACAAGACAGTTACAATGCAACTTGCTAAAGACCTGAACAGAGGTAATTACAAAACACTGCTTCCCAGCTGCTCCCCCAATCTGGAGCGAAGATCAGGACTGTAGGAAAAAACAACCAGTGTAGGAGAAAGACCCATTCCAACTGTTGGAATGAGTCATGTTTGCAATTCCAATTTGGTGCAGCTGCCCAAGGCAAAGTGGTAGGCCTCATTCACATTTAATAAAGCTTTACTGTGCACCTACCTCCTTGGGTGGGTGCTGTGGAGACATCAAAAATTAAGACACACTGCTGCCATGGTCCCTTAGGAGATTAGGAGAGGTGGGCATGGACATTACATAAGACTCTTCTTTGTGTTCAGTCATCTATCTTTCTACCCTCCTTGAATGGACTCATTTAGTTTATGAAAAAATGTTGACTGACGCCTCATAGGTTCTGTGCTGATTCTCATGAGAATCAGGGAGAAATAAGACTCGGTTCTGGATTTTTCAGCCACTGCCTGGAGTGAATTCAAGTCCACCAGATGAAGTATAGTAAGCCAGTTCCATTTTTCCCTATTACCTGCTAGACCACAGATTAGTCTTTCTGCTGGACATGGTGGTACATGCCTGTAATCCCAGCAACTCTGAAAGTTGAGTATTACAAGTTCAAAGTCAGCCTCAGCAGTTTAGTGAGGCCCTAAATAATTTTACCAAGACCCTGTCTCAAAAAAAAAAAAAAAAAGGCTGAGGACATAGTTCAGTGGTAAAGCACCCTGGCCCCTAGGTTAAATTCCCAATTTAAAAAAAAAAAAAAATCAGTCTTTCTCCCGATTCTTGGTGTGCTTATGTCTCATACCAACTTGAACCAGATAACTTTATCAAATGCCATTTAGAAAGAAAGGAAATTTAGAGGTCTGCAGCTCAGGAGAGCCCTGGTACAGCACAGCTGCCCCCAGATTCATCAACCTAGAGCTGTTAAAACAAGTATAGACCAAAGGTGTAGAGCTGGGGTTGTAACTCAGTGGTAGAGTGCTTGCCTAGCATATGTGAGGCACTGGGTTCAAATCTCAACACCACATGTAAATAAATAAAGACCCATTGGAAACTAATATATATACATAAAAGAGGTATAGAGCATACACTATGGGTACTGCCTTATTTTTGTATGACCCTTTAAAAGGGATACTGGGGGGGAAAAAAACTAGAGAAAGATCACAAGTGGAAATTGAAACGCTGATTTAATGGGTGATTGACCAAGTCAGGCACAGTGAAGTAGCCTGTAATTCCAAGTACTCAGGAGGGTGAGAATTGCAAGTTTGAGATCAGCCTACAGGATTCAACAAACTTTGCCAGGGGTAGTGGGATTACATCTGTAATCCCTGCTACTCAGGGAGCCTGAGGCAGGAAGATTTCAAGTTCAAGGCCAGCCTCAGCAATTTAGGAAGACCCTGTCTCAAAATAAAAGGTGCTAGGGATGTAGCTCAGTGGCAAACTGTCCTGGTATCTATCCCCAGTATCAAAAAGAAAGAAAAAAGAAAAAGAAACTAGGTCATTTGAAGGACTGCCATATAGAAAATGACCTGCCTTGTGAGGTAGTGAGCCCCCTACCTCAAGGGGGGTTTTCAAGCAAGCAGTAGATCACTTGGCAGGAGTGGTGGAAAAAAATGAGCTTTTTGGCCTTGTTTGGAGAAAGAGGCAGAGTATGAGAGGTCCTGCTCCCTATAAATGGGATTTTCCTGACAGTATGCAAGGGGACAGGTAATCCTGTATGCACAAACTAAACCGACAGCACTCAAAATAGATGAAAAAGCTTTTTAGCCCTGGGATCTGCTCACATAAATTATTTTAGGACAGGGTAGCTTGGAAAATTTAACAAAATGATGTCACCTCTCCTAATGGGACTGTTTTAGACACATACAGTAAGGCAGCCAATGTGGTAGAATACACTAAAGGTCAGGTATGTGAAGCAGAAGGCCTGGATTTTAGTTCTTGCTTTGCCCTGTGTGACCTAGGACGACTCCTCTCTGGATTCCTCCATGAAGTGAAAGGAAGTACAAGTTCCTTTCCATTCTAAAGAGCATTACCCCTTTGGCTGGGCCCCCCTATAGCAGATCTAGGGCTACAGTTTTGGGTCTTGGGGCTACATTTGTGGACAGCCAAAGACCACCTCTGACGGAAGCATCGGCCACACTCAAGGCAGGGGAAGGGCTTCTCCCCAGTGTGCAGCAGTTGGTGCTGAGCCAAATGGCTCCACTGGGCAAAGCGCTTGGAGCAAAGGTCACAGGCATAGGGCCGCTCGCCCGAGTGTACCCGTCGGTGACTGGCCAGCAGCGAGGGGTAGGCAAAGCGGCGGCCACAGTCGTCACAGGCATGCAGCTTCTCCTCGGTGTGCGTGCTGCGATGAATAGCTAGGGAGCCACTCCGCCGGAAGGCACGGCCGCAATCAGGGCAAGGGTAGGGCTTCTCTCCCGTGTGCAAGAGCTGGTGCTGGAGCAGTGTACTGCGCTGGGAGAAGCGGGCTTCACAGTGCTCACAGGCGTAGGGCCGCTCCCCAGAGTGCACGCGCCGGTGGCTGACCAGGCGAGACGAGGAGGAGAAGCGGCGCTCACAGTCTGGACACGGGTATGGCTTCTCACCAGTGTGGATGCGCTGGTGGATGACTAGGGCGGTGCGCTGGCGGAAGCGACGGTTGCATTCCAGGCAGGTGTAGGGCTTCTCTCCCGTGTGTGTGCGCTGGTGGATGGCTAGCAGGGAGGGGTAGGCAAAGCGACGCCCACAGCTAGGGCACTGGTGGGGCTTCTCGCCTGTGTGTGTGGTCCGGTGATTGGCTAAGGACCGGCTCCTGCGGAAGCAGCGGCCACAGTCAGGGCAGTGGTAAGGCTTCTCCCCGGTGTGGATAACCTGGTGCTGAGAAAGGTTCTTGCGCTGGGAGAAGCGTTTGCCACACTGGTCACAAACATAGGGGCACTCACCAGAGTGTGCCCGCCGGTGACTGACCAGCAGGGATGGGTAGGAAAAGCGGCGCCCGCAATCTGGGCAAGGGTAAGGCTTTTTCAGATTCTGGGCACATTTGTGGCTTTCCAGGGCCGGGTGATCAGGAAAGGTACAGCCACAGTCAGGGCAGATGGGGCCCCCAGACGTTTGCCTGGGAATCAATCGGGGTTTGCTGGGTCTCCGTCCCCGTTTGCCTTTTCTGGGTGCCTCCTTAGGTGGGAATGCTTCCTTCTCCCCATTCTTCTTTCTGGTTTCTACAGGGACACAGGGAAAAATTAATTTAAGAAATACTGGGCTCTTGTTCTTACAGTGTTATAGGTTATAAAACCCATAGACTCAGAGGCTCTACTCAGTGGTACAGCACTCGCCTAGCATGAGCCAGGCCCTGGGTTAGATCCTCAGCACCACATAAAAATAAATAAATAAAATAAAGACATTGTGTTCAGTTACAACCAAAAAATAAATATTAAAAAAAGAAAAAAAGGGCTGGGGATGTGGCTCAGTGGTTAAATATTCCTGGGTTCAATCCCCTGTACCCCTCCCCCCCCAAAAGAGTATTAGGCAGAAATGGAAATAAATGAGGTGTAAACTGGCAGTGTCTGGGTTATAAGACCCTCTAACTAATGGCTTTCAAACTTTATTGTGCCAACTTTGGATTCAGCTAAACTATGGAAGGGTCTAAGAATTTGCATTTCTAACATGTTCTCAAGTAATGCTGCTAATCTGGAACTCTGGAACCACATTTTGAGATCCAGTGCTGTAAGTCTTGTTAATAAGGTCCTTGGACTATATTTTACCCACTGGTTCACAGATCTAGGTGCACATCCAAATCAATGGAGCTATTAAAAAAGAAATATAAACTCATAGACATTCACAAGACAGAATAAGGGCATCTGGGGTGGGGTGTTGGTATCTGTACTTGTTACCAAGTTCCTCAAATGACTTAGATATAAACAACAGCCATTTGATAACCTTGGCAAAAACTAACTGAAAGTTTTTAAATAAGGAAATATGATCAGATCTAAATCTTAAGAAATACCTGTGGCCTTATAGAATCTGGCTCAGAAACTCCAGCCCAAACAGTTCTTTCTGCCCCTGTGGGCAGATCTGGGGTCTTTCTACCTGAATGGACTTGACCAGAGCCTTACTTGATCTTGAGGAGAAATGTTTTTCACCACTTAGGGTCACACTGCCATAAAAGCATAAAGAGGCTGGATGAAGCAATGCATGTCTGTAAACCTAGTTACTCCCAGATGCTGAGGCAGAAAGATTGCAAGTTTGAGTCTTCAGTAACTGAGAAGATCCTGTCTTACAATAAAAAGGGCTGGGGATGTAGCTCAGTGGTGGAGCACCTGCTACCCTGGGCTCCACCTGGGGGTTGGGGGAATTGGGCTGCATCCCAGGCAGTGTTCCCCCATGAGGTCCCTTGCTCCCTTCAACCAAACCCAAAAACAGAAATTTAAGGTGTTTCGGTCAGAGTCCAATTTAAAGGAGGACACGACAGGGATCCTGGGAAGGAGGTAGGAGAGTGGCTATTTTAAAAAGCTCACTGATCATTCACACACACAATGGAGTACAGCAGGTGGTTAGTTTGAAAATTGACTTGATAATCTTTGTTTGTGGACCAACCCCATACCATCAAAAACAAGACCCTGGGCTGAGGATGTAGCTCAGTGGTATATCACTTGCGTAGCATGCACCAAGCCCTGGGTTCAATTCCCAACACTGCAAAGCAAACAAACAAACAACCTGACGCCCTGAAAATGAATAAAGTGTAGCAGCAACACAGAATGGATTATGGGTACCCCTAGCCAGAACAAAACTCAGTACTAAGTCATTAGAGGCTAGAACACTATAGGAGGGTTGCAGGCTCTCCGTGGGCATTTTCACTCACTCCTCTGGACTGTTAATCCTCTCCGATACTCTTGCGGATCTAGGGCAGCCGGTTCCCAATCATCGGTATTTCGTTCCAGCCAGGAGATGAGGGCTGGCTTAGGACCTGCACATCCTGGAGAAGGAGAACCAAGTCAGAGGGCTATCCCCAGATAATCCACCCGATGGCTACTGCTGCCGACAGTCTGCCCTCTCCCTTGACACAAACCTGGTCGCAGGACAGGACCCTGATCTCCCTGCCCGCCCCCGCCCCCAAACTCCTTCTTCCCTTCTAGGCCCCGCGGAAGCGGAGTGGGGCGGGCCTCACCGAGCGCGCCCAGGTGGCCGTAAGTCTCCCGCATCACGTCTCGGTACAGGGCCCTCTGCGCGGGCCGCAGATACCCCCACTCCTCAGGTGAGAAGTACACGGCCACGTCCACAAACTTCAAGGCCCTTGGCCTCCTTCCCCTTCTCCGACTAGGTCCGGCCTCTCCTTGTCCCCGAGCAGGGAGCGGAGCCGAAGGCGGCGCCATTGGACCTGAGAAACCCGCGCCACGGCCTTTCCCTTCCCAGCCCGGACCTCTGGGCGATGACGAACCCCAAGATTTAGGAGCCCCCACCAGCCCGGGGCTGAGCGTGGCCGGGAAGGCCCGGAGGGAATCAGAATCGGCAGCCTGCGGGGATAACGGAAACCCCTCGCTGTTATTCAGGAAACTCCTGCCCGAACTTGGGTGAAAGGCACCGGAAGATGCCTTCGGGGAAAATGGCGGCGCTGCTACTGCACCGCCTTTGCATGTAACATAGACAGCTTCCAGCTATCGATTTTATTGACCGGAGCGCCATGCCGGCTTCCTAACCTTTTTGCCCTAAAGTGCAATGGCGCCGAGACTAGGCTTCACGCCCTTTCACCCCCGTCTCCCTGTTACTCTTGTTCATTGGCCCGCGACTGAAGATCGAACATTCTGATTGGTTTCTGGGGAAGGCGGCCTGTTTGAACGAAGCCAACGAAAGCATAAGGGCAGGAAGCTGGACCATTAGTGCAGTGTTTGAAAGAAATTGAACTCAGAACCTTGGCCTTTCTTATGCTAGCTAGCCAAGTGCTCTATCACTGAGCTAACCCCTAGCCCTTTATTTTTGTTTATTTATTTATGACTCACTAAATTGCCCAGGCTGGTCTCGAATTTGGGATCCTCCTGCCTCAATCTCCCTTGTATCTTGGGAAAACGGGCGTGGGCCACCGCGCCCGCCCTACTAAACATTTCATTTCCTTCCTTCTTTCCTTCTTCCTTCCTTTCTCTTCTCCCTCTTTTTTTACCCCCCCCCCCCGTATTAGGGATTGAACCCAGGCGTGCTCTACCATTGAGAAAGATCCTTAGCCTTTTTTAATTTTTTAATATTTATTTTTTATTTACTTATTTTTACCGTAAAGATGATGGAACCCGGGTTGCTTTTCCACACCCCCAGGGTCTAGATAAATTGCTGATGCTAGTCTCCAACTTGCAATTCTCCTACCTCCGCCTCAGGAGTTCCTGGGGTTACTGGTGTGTGCCACCACTTGGTGCCTCATTTTATCCTTTGCTGCCATTTTCGTGAGTTGATGGATATCATCCCAGTTTAAAGAAATTTCTTAAGAGGGAATATGCGTTTCCAGGATCATATCGCTAGTGAGGAGGGGAACCAAAATTAGACCTGAGGTTGACAAGGTTTTTATTCATACCACTTGACTATCCTGATTTGCTTGCTAACTCAGGAATCAGTCTGAATTCTTGGTCTCAGGTTTGGTCTTTTGCCTAATCTCCATACATTATTCTAACAACTTTTGTTCATTGTTCATAGAATACTGCTAGGCAGTTAGGGGAGACAAAATTACAGAAATAACTCATGGGTTATGCTTTGAATGGAGTTTACAGTCTAGTGAAGCAAATTCACAACCAGTAATAACCGAATGCAACAAACATGTAAAAGGCATGCAGGTGCGCGCGCGCGCACACACACACACACAAATGTTGAGAGAACAAGCCACACATATTTCCCATCAGTTCCCATTTGTGTGCATTATGGTACAGAGTTTTGTAGCTCAATGCCATCACCCAGGGATACTGGGGGCAGGAGAATATACCATTTACCACATCTCTTTTCTTTTTTTCTTTGGTAGTGGGGATTGAACCCACAGATATTTTGCTACTGAACCAAACTCCTGGCCCCTTTTTATTTTGAGACAGGGTCTCACTGAAATGCTTAGGGCCTCACTAAGTTGCTGAGGCTGACCTAGACTTGTGATCCTCCTGCCTCAGCCTCCCAAGTCTCTGGGATTTCAGGTGTGCACCTGTGTGCCTGGCCCATTTGCCATCTCTCTTAGCTGGCAACATAGAAATCTTTCTAATCCAGTAATCAATATTTAAAAGCACCTACTGTAGTGAAAACAGTAACCCTTTAGCCTTCATAAAGTAAAGATAGGAATCACAAAATAAGAAATTATGAGAAAGATATTTGAATAGAGGTGATTAAAAAAAATCCTGCCCTTAACATTCTGCATTAACTAAATAAATGCAATTACTGCCATCTCAGCCTAGTGCTGTGGTGCTTACCTATCATCCAAGCTACTCAGGAGGCTGAGATAGGAGGATCATGTGAGATCATTTTAAGACCAAAGACCAACCTGGTTAACAGAGACCCCATTAAAAAAAGGTCAAAACCAAAAACATTAATTGAGTTCTTGCTCAGGGCTAAGTGGCTGTTTGTTGAACTAAATAGGGGAACTAATGGAATATCAGAGTTGCCAGGATAAGTAACAAACAATGCTTCTTTCTTTCCAGATTGATTCACCAGGTATGATGAATTTGGCCTATGAAGGTGTGGGATTTAGGGAGGACTGTGGTGCTCAATAGACATTTATTGAATAAACCGTTGAATCATAGCTACAAAGGTCTATGGCACAAAGCTAGGACTTCAGGAAAGTTCTAGGTATGAAGAGAATAATGATATTTTCTGATGTAGTCAGTGGTGGTAAAACTGAAAAGGTTAGTTGACACCTGACATTAGTGGACTTCATCCTGTGTATTAGGAAGCTTTGAAATAAGTTTATAGGAATATATGACCTACTAATGTTTCAGGAAGTTTGCAAGCTGAACTGGTAGGTTTGTACTACTCCTTCTGTGTACACACAGTTAAGTTGGGAAAATATGAGTGTAAATGTAGGCTGCTAAGGGAATAAAAAGGCAAATGAATAGCAGATATTTCACTTGAAAGGAAGTGGGGAAGGAATCAGTTCTCTGTAGTCACCAGGCATGGTGGCACATACTATAATCCCAGCAACTTGGGAGGCTGAGGCAGGAGGATTGCAAGTTCAAGGGCAACCTCAGCAAATTAACAAGAACTTCTCTCAAAATAAGAAATAAAAAGGGCTGGGAGTGTAGATCAAAAGTAAAGCACACCTGAGTCCAATTCCCAATACCAAAAAAAAAAAAAAAAAAATCTGCAGTCAGCTTGCCTTGATACACAACTAAACCAGAAGATGAAGTTGAATAAGAAAGGAAAGAAAGATTAAATATGGAGGTCAGAAGGTCCTGGGCCCTCTGCCCACGTCCATGCAGTGGGAAGGCAGGTCAAACTTAATGGTGCAAACTTATCCTGGCTCTTGGTTGCACAAGCCCTGTTTGGCAAGGTTTGCCATCATCCTGGTGGGAGCCACTAAGGTGGGATCTTTTTTGGTGTGTGTGGTGCTGGGGATTGAACCCAGGCCTTGTGTATGTGAGGCAGGCACTCTACCAACTGAGTTATATCCCCAACCCACTAAGGTGGGATATTGATAAGCAGAGTCAGATGCTCTTAATTATAGGGAAACTTGTTGGAGAAAGAAGTAACCAGGACTTAGTGTGAGAGCAGAGTCCCTTCTCCCTCTGTATAAATTTCTGGATCCACACTGGGCATCAGGTGAAGCAAGGCTCCTATTGAAGTAAAATGGCCCATTGCAGAGAAGGTTACAGAAGACCCCAAGAGTCTACACATCAAAAGCCACACAAAAAATAAAACTAGGGCGGGGGTTGTGGCTCAGTGGTAGAGCGCTTGCCTAGCATGTGTGAGGCACTGGGTTCAATTCTCAGCACTGCATATAAATAAATAAAGTAAAGGTCCATTGGCAACTAAAAGAAAAAAAATTTAAAATATAACTAAATGGTGTTGAGTTTTAACTAAATACATGGCACACTAATATAGATATCATTCAAAACTCACCTTGTAGAGTCCTTGTAAGGATGATTATATTTTTTCTTCTTCTTTCGGTGGTACTGGGGATTGAACTCAGGAGCTTTACCTCTGGGGTGCATTCCAGCCCGAGGATCAAGTCTCTTGATTATTTCTACCTTCTTTCTCTTGCTTTCCACAAGACAAGAGAATTTGAACTGAAAATTATAGGGTGTTTTGAAAGCTGTGTTCTTGAATCGGGCAGCTATATGTGAGGATAGAACAGCACACAAGATTGTCTGCTCTTTCAAGGTGTAGGACCTATGTGCAAATCTCAAATTCAGAGAAACTCCACCTACCAAAGGCAGCAGCTTCCCATTTTCAGACAAAAGTACCATCACTTTTCTAGAATTCTTCCTTATTGCTGACATCCAATCTTGTATAGGATTCTTATAAGGAAAGGCTGAATTTGTTTCAGGGGTAAGCTGGCACCTTTCCCTGGTTAAAGATAGTAAAAATGGGCATTTCAATGGAAACAGACTTCTAAAAAATTTAAAAAAAAAAAACTTAGGAGGAACAGAAAACAAATTTAAAAAGACAGTTTTTATCCTAATTGTTAGGTGCCAAATCATCAAATTCTTTACATAAAGAATATTTTGGGAACCCAGGTGTGGTGGCACACAACTGTAACTAACCCCAGCTACTCAAGACACTAAATGAAACAAGAGGATCACAAGTTTGAGACCAGCTGGGGCAACTTGGCAAGACCCTGTCTCAAAAAAATTTTTAAAAGGGATGGGGATGTAAGTCAGTGATAGAGCACTTGCCAAACTTACATAGGCCCTGGGCTCAATCCCTAGTACCCCCCCCCCCAGCAAAAAAAAGTAAGTTCTATGGTGGGGGGATGTGCAGCTCAGTGATAAGAGCACATGCTTAGTATGCGCATGCACGCGTGCACGCACGCACATACATAGAATAAGAAATAGACAGCTCTGTGATGCTTCTAGTGTCAAGCTGAGGCCAATCAGAAAAGGCTTTTATTAATCAAAAGTAAGCATTCATTCCTTAGGCACACTAGCCACATTTCAAATGCTAAATAACCACATGTGGCCAGTGGCTGCTCTGGGGGACAGCACCAATGCAGAACATGCCTAAGGTTGACAAAAGCTTGATTGGACAGCAATACTGTGGGTACTCAGCAAAAAAAAAAAAAAAAAAAAAAAAAGAAGACCCCAATCCCCACTCTGCCTCCTCCCTTCCACCTCATTGTGATCAGCTATCCTTGAATGTGAGCGAGACTCCAAATCTTGGGGAAGGAACTTTGGAAGAGATGGTTCAGAGGTTTCTTACCAACTGGGGCCCATAAAGAGCGGAGCTGTGCATGGACAGGGACTGCTGGGGAAAGGGGAACCTAAGAAAGGCTGACTTCCACATCTGCTCCTTTTTCCTACCTATGCCAGACCCCAGGCGCTTAGCCTCTTCCTTGGGATCTTGGCAGAAAGCAAAGTACAATCCTTTGAATTGGGTCTTGGCCAAACATTCCAGTTTGCTGGAAGCTGGCAGTAGCCAGGGAGCAGAACTTCTGCCTGAGCAACATCTAGTCTGAGGTCTGAATATCACCAAGTTCAGACTTCAGGTTCACCGGCTATGTGCCCAGCACTGTTCTGGGCTTTGGAGAGAGGGACAGTGAACCAGAGCTCAGC